ACACACACACCTACACACACGGACACGCACACATTCACACACACACCTACACACACGGACACGCACACATTCATACACACACCTACACACACGGACACGCACACATTCACACACAGCTGTCAGTCTCACAGAGAGAGAGTGGGGTTAGGGGGTTTGACTGGGGGTCACAGAGAGAGAGTGGGGTGATGGGGTTTAACTGGGGGTCACAGAGAGAGGGGTCTGCACTGATAAATCAGGTAAATGCATACATTATATTTATGCCACCCCTCTCTTATCCCTCTCTCCCTCTCGGCCTCTCAGGAACAGCAGAAATCAACCAAGAGGAAGTACGTGAAAAAACGCCCCCCCCAGGCTAGCCGGGACCCTGCAGCCCCCTCGTCTCCGCCGGCCAGTTCCCTGCCCCCAGCAGCAGAGAGCGCTGTGGAAGCCGGGGGGCTGGGGGAGATTGCAGAGGGGCGCAGGGTGGAGATGTACCCCGCCAGTCTCCTGGACCACGAGTACACGGCCGGCCCGGGACCCTTCAGCCCGGGGGGCTCCAGGGGGACAGCTGCCATGGCCCCCGGAGTGTTCCTGACGCCGCGTCGGCCCTCGCTGTCCCCCCAGAGCAGCAGCAGCACCCCCACGCCTGCCCCCGCCAGTTCCGCCCAGGGTAACAGGCTCGCTGGTCGTGGTCTTCTTCTCTCCTTGTCTCCATATCTGACTGTGCCGTGGTCTAACTCTCTAACTCTCCATCTCCCTGAACCATCATCTGACTGTCTCACTACCCTTCTCCCTGTCTCCCTGTCTTACTGTGCCGTCGTCTGTCTCCCTTTCTCAATGTGCCATCGTCCTTCTCTCTTGCTTCCTGTCTCCCTGTCTCGATGTGCCATTGTCTCTCTCTTTTGCTCCCTGTCTCTTGTTACTGCATTACTGTGCCAAAAAGCCGCAGGAGTTTTGACCTGTGGTTTTACTGTATTCTCTGTTGGCTGTTTCAGCTGTTAATTGCTCATTAACGAGTGAGCTAATTCTTTAGCTGGAACATACTAGTTCCTTAGCTGGTGGATTAGTTCTTAGTTGACCCCCTCGTTAGGGAGCAGGCTAGTTTTTTAGCTGCTTGACCCACTTGTTAACAAGTGGACTAGTTCCTAAGCTGGTTGATGCTTTCTTTAGCGATGGACTATTCCTTTAGCTGGTTGACTTAGTTAGTGAGTGGACTAGTTCTTGGGTAACCCGTTCTTTAGTGAGTGAACTAGTTCTTACTAATTGCTCGTTAGCAAGTGGACTAGTTCTTTTGCTGGTTGATGCTTTCTTTAGCAATGGACTGACGTTTTCGTTAGTGAATGGACTAGTTCTTTAGCTGGTTGACCTACTCATTAGTGAATAGACTAGTTATTTAGCTGTTGGTCTTGCTTCTAAACAAGTGGACTAGGTATTTGCCTGGTTGACCTGCTTGTTAATTAATTAACTAGTTCTTTATCTGGTTGACATGGTCGTTAGCAAACAGACTAGTTCTTTAGCTGGTTTACACAATCATTAGCAAGCAAAGTCGTTTGGTAGCTGGTTGACCTGCTCGTTAGTGAATAGACTAGTTCCTTAGCTTTGCTTGTTAACAAGTGGACTAGTTCTTTAGCTGGTTGACCTGCTTGTTAGTGAATAGACTAGTTCTTTAGCTGGTTGACCTGCTCATTAGCGAGCAGACTTTTTTAGCCAGTTGGTTTGCTGTGATTAAATTCTTGTTCTCCCTACTGTAGTCTGCTTCCTCTTTCCTCTTCTCCTTACACTGTTACAGGACAGTTTGGTTCTGATGCATCTCCTTCTCTGCCTCTCTGTCTCTGGCAGGAAAACGTCCAAAAAAAGGCCTGGCAACAGCTAAGCAGAGACTGGGAAAGATCCTGAAAATCCATCGGAACGGAAAACTGCTTCTGTGAGAGAGGGAGGGGGGAGAGAAACTGCACAAGAAGGCAAGAGGCTGATGGGACAGGAGAGCTGAGGGGGGGAGAGGGGTGCTAAGATTGAAGCAAACAATGAAGGAAATTATTATGAAAACAGAGAGGAAATTAAAGAGAGGAAAGGGAAGAGAATAGTCCTTTTAAAAATATTTTGACATATTCATGTAAAAAATATT